AAAACTGTCCCATATCTGTTTCCCATAACATTTTCAACACAGTGAAAGTATTTGCCAGGTTAGAATATTTAAATATAGCGATGTAAGTGAAAATATTTAGTTTGTGCCGTTGGTTCTGACAGCTGCTGGAGGAGCCACATACGATAATCGTACCCATGAGATTAAGGTGTACCCCAAATCCAAATATTCCATAATAGAAACTGTAATCCCACTCTACTCTATCAAAAGTTTTTAGTGTCCAGTGCAAGTCCTCAGATAGAGTGGTCGTGTCAGGGGTGTAAACCACATTAAACTCTCTGCAGATTCATCCATCCATTATCTTTACCTGCTTGTTCCATTTTGGGTCACGGGGGTCGCTGGTGCCCATGTCCAGCAATCACTGTGCGAGGGGCGGGGTACACCCTGGACGGGTCGCAAGTCCATCACAAGGCCACATAGAGACAAACGAGACAAACAACCATTCACTCTCTCATTCACACCTAGGGACAATTTAGAGTTACCAATCAGCCTAACATGCATGTTTTTGGTCTGTGGGAGGAAACCGGAGCACCCGGAGAAAACCCACGTATGCACAGAGAGAACATGCAAACTCCACCCAGAAAGGCCCCTGGACTGGGGTTTGAACCAAGGACCTGCTCGCTGAGAGGCAGCAGCTCTACCAGTTGCACCACCGTGCTGCCCCACTCTGCAGATAAAAAAATAAAAAAAGTGTCTGTCGTGGATAAATAAAGTTTAATCTAGAGAAATACCTGAGGGTAACACTGTCCGTAAGCATCCAGCTCGGAACTTTTCCAGCAGTTTGAAGTTAACGTTTAACAAACTGATGTGACCACGTCTCTTTAGGATCAGCCTCGTATGGAAGGGACATCCAGCACAGATGCTGCATCAGCCACACAGACCAACACAATGTGGAGGAGCAGCAACTCTAATCCGAGCCTCTCCTGGATAACTGGAGTCCAGCTTCCTTGTGGAGGAAACTCATTTCAACTGCTTGTTTCCACAGTCCTGTTTTTAATCACTACCTAGAGTTTGTGACCTTTGGTGAGGACAGGAACCTAAACGAACCAGTAAACACAGAGCTTCTATTTGCAGCTCAGCTCCCTCTTCACCACAACGGACCAGCACAGAGTCTACAATACTACAGAATCTATAAGCTGCATCCATCAGCTGACCTCATGCTCCAATCTTCCCTCGCTCATGAACAAAACCTTGACAGCACCTCACCGCACTCCCAACCTGGAGAGGGTGATCCACCTTTTTCTGACTAAGGACCATGGCCTTAGAATCGAATGTGCTTATCCTCATCCCAGCTACTTCACAATCAGCTGTGAACCGGTCCAGTCAGTGAGGATTGGAGATCACAGTTTGATGACCCCAGCAGGATTCTGAGGTCACCAAACCGGTCCCCCGGTTTTTGACAGTTTGACAATACTTTGAAATACTAAGAAAGAAATAGAAGCAAAAAGTTTCTTCCTGCCACTATCAGCTTTTCATGCGCTGGTCACCCAGACTGGATTTTGATGATGGGGCTTATCAGAAATCTTTGACTTTTCAGGTCAAGATTCGTGTCCCAGGAAGGTCAACATTTTATTATTTGTTTTGTCTTTAAGTGATTGTATTTACGAATAACTTGTTTTTGTGATTCGTTTTTGTTTATCCATCCTTTACCCGCTTTACCTTTTCGGGTTGCAGGAGTCACTGGTGCCCATGTCCAGCCATCACTGTGCGAGGGGCAGGGACACCTGGACATGTCTCCAGTCCATCACAAGGACACAGAGACAAACAACCATTCACCCTCTCTCTCCCTCTCACCCCTAGGGACAATTTAGAATTACCAGTCAGACTAACATGCATGTTTTTGGTCTGTGGGAGGAAACCGGAGTACCCGGAGAAAACCCACACATGCACGGAAAGAACATTCAAACTCCACCCAGAAAGGCTCCCGACTGGGATTTGAACCAGGGACCTGCTCACCGAGAGGCAGCTGCTCTACCAACTGCACCACCGTGCTGCCCTGTTTCTGTATAATTACTATTTATTTATTTGGAATTTGGAAGTTTCTTGGTTGCTTCACAGATTTTATTTTGGTTTGGGGGGTTTATAATGAAGTTTCTATGTACTTTCAAAATTTGTGTATGTATTCACTATAACTTCGATGCTTTGAACCACTTTGGCTATGGCTGCCTCAGAGTTTGTGGGGGAGAGGGTGGACTCCAGAAACCATGTTATCACTATAAAACTGGTTGGCCCTGTTACGAGTGCGGGAGTACCCAGAACGAAAGACCAGAACTGAACAGACACCAGGACTCAGAGAAAAGTTTACAGTGTTTATTTACAGGGTTGTGATAAATAAGACATCCATAAGGGAACGGGAACACCTGGGGAGAAAGCGGTACTTTAAAGGGCTGTGGTTGGATGAGGATTTCTTGTAGAATAGTTCTTACGGTTTGTAGCAGGAAACAATGAGATGGTATTTGTCCAGATGGTGTCCTGTGGCACAAGGTGAAGCAACAAGTAGATTTTAGGCAAGTGGTGGAAGGCATCCAGCAATTGTAGAGGCAGGAGGAGTCAGTTCACATGGAACTCAAGCAGGGCAGGTAACAGCAAGATCCAAACTCTAAGGAAGCGCAGAGAAAAAACACATTAGTTTTCACTAATATCACAGAACTGGCCAGAACACAACTACCGTTGGTAAGCAATGTCCCAGCACCTGCAGAGTGGTTCTTGAATCTTCTTATACTCCTCCTGGGTGTTGAGTTGATCATCTGCAGCCAATTAGGAGTGTAGAGGAGAGAGGAAGACAGGGTGCAGGGCAGGATCCTTACATTACCCTCCCCTCAAGAGTCGCCTCCCGGCGACCTGAAGCGATTCTCTGGGTGTGCCCTGAAGAACGTGGTGATGAGGCTGGGGTCCAAGATGAAGGACCTTGGGATCCAAGAGCGCTCCTCTGGACCGTAACCCTCCCAGTCGACCAAATACTAGAACCCCTGCTGCCAAACGTCCAGGATGCGGCGGACCGTGAAGGCTGGATGGTTGTTGTATTATGAAATTAACAGGGGTCGTGAATGGTCGGCACCAGATATTCAGACAAGAGGAAAAATGAAACACAAGGAGACTGTTACTGCTAGAATAATAGTGTAATTTTATTAATCTGCCACAGAAAACAGCCAAGCAAACATGTACACTCTTTACACACACAAATTGATATGAGAGCCTCTCACCGTGACACGTGGTCGGGAAGCCGTTCGACCCGGGTAAAGGAATCACATCAAAACTGCGCCGGGCACTCACGCGCGTTGGTCCACAGCAGACTTCAAAGTTCCCTTGCCTGTCACACCTCCTTTATACCTCTCCCTGACCGGATCGCGTGAGAGCAGTGAAAAACAAGTTTGATGGTTGTCAGGAAGACAGATCTAATTAAAACATGTTTTTCCATCATCAAAGCGATGGCTC